ACCTCGATACCGCGCAAGCGAAGATTGCTGAGCTCACGAAAGACATCGAGACCGGTCAAGCTGATCATGCGAGCATCACCGAACGCCTGACTGCAGCGGAGACAGCACTGAAAGCAGCAGAGGAGAACCACACCGCCACTGCAAGCACTCTTGCTGAGAAGCAGCAGGAATTATCAGAAGCTCGATCTGACCACGAATCCGCCAAAGAGAAGCTTACGTCGCTCGAGACGGAGCTTCAAGATGCCAAGTCTGCCTTGGAGAAGGCCGAAGCGACTTCCGCAGCCCACGGGGAACTCCAGAGCCAGCATGAAACTCTCAAGGAGAAGCTATTGACTCTTGAAACCGATTTACAAAAGTCGCAGGACGCGCTCAAGGTGGCTGAAGAAGCCGCAGCGGCCCACGAGGAGCTCCGAGGCCAGCACGAAATTTTAAAGGAGAAGCTGCCGACCCTTGAAGCTGATCTGGAAAAGTCGCGGGATGCCCTCAAGGTAGCCGAAGAAGCCGGAGCAGCTCACGAGGAGCTCCAGGGGCAGCACGAAACTCTAAAGGAGAAGCTGTCGACCCTTGAAGCTGATCTGCAAAAGTCGCAAGACGCCCTCAAGGCTGCCGAAGAAGCCGCAGCTAGCCATGCCGAGCTTAAAGAGAAGCACAAGGTCGCCGAAGAACGCGCCATCGCAGCCGAAGAGCAGCACAAATCGACCCAGGACTCCCTTGTTAAAGCCGAAGACGAACTCAGCACTCTTCGCGAAAGTAAGGCTGACTTTGAAGAGGCTCAAGAGGCGAAGAAGGCCGCCGAAGTCTTGGTTTCGAATCTCGAGGCCGCGACGACCAAGCTGACTGAGGAGCTGAACGATGCTCTTGATGCTAAGAAAACTGATGAGGACCAGATTGCTTCGCTGGAGGAGGCAAAAACACGGGCGGAGGAAGCTCTGAAAGCGGCCAACGAGGCAAAGGTGGCTGCAGAAGAGCAAGCCACTAAAGATGAGGGCGAACTCACAGCTGCGAAGGATTCCTATGCGGAACTTGAGGCCAAGCTTGCGGAAGCGATGACTGCCAAACAGATGGCCGAAGAAAGTCTCGCCAGCGCGTCGCAGGAGTCTCAGACGTTGAAAGAAGATCTTGAAAAGAGGCTTGCGACCGCCGAAAATTCCGTCAGCGAACTTGAGGCTAAACGCAAGGCTGACACTGAAGCTGCTGATTCGGCGAAGGGCGAGTTCGAAGAAAAGATTAAGGCCGCCGAAGGAGCTAAAGAGGCCACTGAATCTCGCCTGAAGGAGCTCGAAGAGAGCGCTGAAGCGGATCGCACGGCGCACGAGAAGGCATCGTCCGAGCTTAAAGAGAAGGAAGAACAATTGAAAGAGGCACTGGCCAAGGAGGAAGAGGCCCGCTCGCAGCTAGAGGCTGCCATCAAGGAGAAGGAGGCGGAGGTAGAGAAGGTTAAGAGCCACGAGGGTGACTTCAAACGGCTTGACTCAGAAAAGGCCGGCCTGGAAGAAAAGCTTGAGGCGCTACAAGAGGCTCACGAGAAGCTGGCCAGGAAATATGACAGTGTCCTCGCCGCGAAGGATGACGCGGATAAGCGTGCTTCTGAAATGGAAGCGAAGCTTGCCAAAGCACATGAGCCCACCAAGAAAACTGATGGGGTTGATGAAGCTGCGAAGGAGGTAACTGATGTTGAGGAGGGACCCGGTCCTGCTGCTATGCCTGCTAACCTATCTACAGAGTTGATTGAAAGCCCGATTGATCGAAAGGAGGTAGCTGATAAGGATGTTGCGAGCCCTTCAGCGGTGGATGAAGCGGCTGTACAAGCTGGCGAAGAGCCAGCAACAGCAGAAGAAAGTACAAGTGCCGACGGGGGTCCTGTTGTTGCTGAGTCTGTTCCAACCGAGGAAGTTGCTACGAAAGAAGACGACGCTGTAAAGACGAGAGCAGAGGCTGTTGCGAAGGAAGATGTTTCTACGATGCCAGACGAGACCCCTGCTGAGTCTGAGACTGTTGGTACCGAGGTTGCCGAACCAAATACAGTGGAGGTGGAAGCCGCCAAATCCGTCATTGCTGATTCCGATACCCAAGTGAAGTCAGCATCTGCCAAACCCGCTGTTGACAACCCGGAAAGCGAAAAGGCCGAACCCTCATCTACTTCAGTTGAATCCCCCGATGTAGATGCAGGACAAAACCCCCACTCTGATGTTGTTGAACCAACCAATATACAGAGCGTCAAATCTCCTACACAAATCGATAAGCCGGAATCTGCCCCTGTTCAAGAGGCTCAGGCTAGTGAACAAGCCAATCCGGACAATCTACCTCAGTCCACCGACGAAATCGCAACTTCCGGTGAGCAACCTGTGACAAAAGAACCAGAGCAGGTTGTAGCCCAAGTGGTATCCGATCCCGATAGCGATCGAACTCCTGAAACTGCAACGGACATCCCAGGGCTAGCTTCCGGAGACCGTGAATCTTCAAGTGATAGTGGAGCGCCACAACCTGTTCCTGAATCTCCTATGGCCGATGTTTCAGAACCCATACCTCAGTCTATAGCGCCTGCAGCAGCGGACGAAAAGCCTTCTGAATCATTGACGAATTCCTCGGAACCAGAAGCACCGGCGGAAAAATCAGTTGAAGTTCCTAAATCACAATCTACTTCCGAGCCCGCTTCTGCCTCCGCCCAGGTTGAACCGGAGGTGACCGCTGGTGAAAAGGAAGTCCGAGGTACTGAAGCAGAAGGCGCAACGACTTCGCCGTCTTCTGCCGAGGAAGTTACAAACCCTGAATCAGATGCTGCTCCAAAGTCGGGATCTCTTCCCGAGCAAGAGGCTACTGTTCATGACTCTGAGGCCGCTACCAAGTTGGACGGCCCCTCCGAAAATGTAGTCACAGCTCCTGAACCAGCGGCTGTCACCACACCGGAGCCTCTTCAAGAGCAAAAGAACACAGTACCGGAAACGGAGCCTGAAGTCAAACCGGAGTCTTCTGCCACGCAAGAGCTCACAGCTTCTGGGGCCGGGTCTGCTGAAGACCAACCGCCTACTAAGGTAGAAGCCAACTCCGAATCCGGACCCATGAATGACAGTATTGCTGCCGCCAAGTCATCTGACCCGGAACCTGTGCCTGCTGAACCAACCACTGGACAACTCCAAGGTCTAGGCTCTGGTGACGGCCACAACAAGGATGAAGCGGCGGAATCAGCGATCGAACAGCAAGCATCGAACCTTGAAGAGCCCACTGTTAGTGAGTCGGCTGTTAACGAGTCGACTCCCGTGGCTGAGAATAGGAGTGTGAAGGAGCCAATTGCTGAACCTGAGAAGCCGATCGAGCCGGATTCTACTCCTGATGCTTCCCCTGCGGCTACGGAAGGCCCCACAACCGGCCAAGATGTGGCGGACTCTACGACTGAATCGAACACGGCACCACCTGCCGAGTCTACACCACAGCCGGCTGCCGAACCAACCGAGGAAGCCGCAGCAAAGCTCGAAGTGGGATCCTCGACGGAGACACTGGGTGATGCGCGTGCTGATACGCAAGCCGAGTCGTCGGCCCTAAAGAGTGGCCCTGAATCTGGACCTACTGAATCGCAAGAGCCTGCATCGACTGTTGCGGAGTCAGTGGGGCTGGATGTCCAACCAGAAACGGTAGCTAAAGAGCCAGCCGCATCCACTGATGCCGTCAATAACTCGGACCCATTTGACACCGAACAGAGGCCAGCTGAGGAATCGAAGAACTCGGCCAACGGCGCAAGCACGGATGTGCTCAGTGGAGCGGAGCTGCCAACTGAGTCCCAGCAGCAGGCGGTTGACACTTCACAAGACTCCAAGCCGGATCTCGAAGGCCGGACTTCTGTGAGTCCAAGCGAAGATACGGTGATCAGCCCCACGTCCAAGGATGGCCAAGGGGATGGAGAAAGCTCTGCCGCAAATTCGCCTACGTCGGTGGAAACGACGCAGACGGAAGTCGAGCCGGGGTCAGCTGATAAGGCTGGCGAACTTTCGCCTCCCAAAGACGCTGGTATGACGGAGAAAGCTAGTGAAGACAAGGAATCAGCGGGAGCTGTCACAGAAGAAGCGGAGGAGAGTACGCAAACGCGTGAGCCGACCTCGCACGTAAAGAAAGATTCAGTCATTCCAGACGTGGTTGAGGAGAAGCAGTCGGCTACAGCAGCAGTTGCAGAGGTCCCCGAAAGTCCTCAAAAGACCGAGGCCTAGAGATCGGGGTGCCGTTGCTGGCCAGAATGTCGCATTTCGTTTGATGATTTATTGACGGTTTAGCGTTTTGTTTACTTGTAATGTTCGCCTCGAAAAATCGAGATGGCTGTCTCGCTTGAGAAGTTGCGCACCCATATTAGCGAGGCGCGAGGCCTCCGCCCAGTCTGTCGATTTCTGTATCTAGTTTCTCCTTGCATCATGCCGCATTCGCTCTATACCCAATGTTTTTGCAAATATGGCCCAGAATGGTACGAATATACTCATGGCGTGTTGTTTCACAAGACTTTTCAGCTAGGTTCTCAACCGGGTTTTGTGCAGTGCAAGTGCGTGATGGTATCTGCAACGTTTACTCCGAATTAGCTGGTGTGCGACGCACTGTAGCGCGAGTAACTATCTCGAATAAGAAAAGTGTGTGCTGTTGGAAGCAGGGAAAGTATTTGGCGCTTTGATATTGAAACCGTTGCCAGATAATTAAGAATCGTCCAAATAAAGAGTCGTACCAGAGTCATTCCATGAAGGAGGTATTTCTTGCCCGGTAACGGATAAGGTGTGCGTGAAGTAAGGTAGAAGGCTGCGATAATTGCATTGTGAAATGGTCCGTAACCTAGGACAAATGTGTTGTAAAACAATTTCTTCATCGAACACATGGCAGCGTGACGAGTGGTGGACGTCGTGAACTGGCACGGCACATACCCAAGAAAACGGGACCCGAATAGGCAGTTGAGTTTCTACCAAGATTTTACACTATATATATTACTTTATTTCCGAAACTGACCACAAGCGCCTGCTAAGCAGGTTGTACTCCGCTTGGTGTAGTTGGTTTATCACGTTCGGCTGTAATGGAAACTCCAATGTTACCGAAAGGTCCCTAGTTCGATTCTGGGAGCGGAGACTTACTTTTTGCCTTTTTTTTTTCCCTTCTTACTTTGTCTTCTTGTCCCCTTATCTTGTGACATGGCCTAACAAATGATTCTTTCCGTATAGACTTGGTAGTGCAGCGGTGCTCCAAGTGTGTTACGACCTCTTGTCGAAGCAACGGACAGTTTTGGGAAGTCCTCACCAGGCTATTTTCAACGCGCATGACTCTCGCAGCTCTTGGAAGCTTGACCGAAGACAGTTTACATCTAATTCATGGAGCCCATTACTAGCTGAAAATTCGTAACTCGCGGTACCTAGCCCCTAGCAGTTTTATGCTATATTGCTTGCATGCGTCGAAAGTTTTGTGGGATTATATTTAATTGCAAGAACTAGCTCCACGGTAAAGGTAAGTCGTCAGTCTAGCCCACCTCAGTGTAGTCGGCTTGCAGAGTGTCGCGGCGCGTTCGTCTCCGCCGCTGAATCGTAGGTATTATTAATGGAAAATAATAACTATAATATATATACCGGTAAAATGAAAAGCCAAAACAAAAAAAAAAAAAGGAAAATCGTTTGAAAGCTTATAGGACGCTCAATGACCGCTGTCTCCCGTCCCCCTTTTCCTCAGCCCGTGGTCTGGTTTTGTCCCGAGCGCCTGCCTGCCCGCCCTTTGCCATTCCGTACCGAAGCGAGCGACCCTGTTCGACAGTGGCAAGAACCAGAAGGGGAAAGAGGGAAAAAAAAAAACCCAAAAAAAAGATAGCACGCAAGAGGGAGTCCGTACAACAGAAGCAGCCAGCAGACCCTCAAGAGAGGAAAACTAAAACGAATTTCCCACGGACTCGCCCCTCCAACCCTATCCCCCACCTCCCCCATTCATCAACGCCCCACCCCCTTCTTCTCCGCCCCAAACACATCCTCCAGAAACCCGTTCCAAACCTGCCTCACGACGCCCGTCTCCCGCTCCCCCTCCGCCGCATCCCCGGCCCCCCCCAACCCCGCCGCGCCCACGATCCCGTCCGCCAACCTATGCACGTGCTCCTCCATGCTCGTATTGTCCGTGACCTCGGCGATGCGCCAGGCGGCGCCGTCCAGCGCGGCGGTGCTGATGCCGCCGCCGCCGACGTCGTCCTCCATGCGCGCGGCCGCCGCCCGCGAGATGGTGCTGGGCGCCGCGCCCGCGGCGTGGTCGGCCGACACGATGGGCACGTTGGTCACGGGCGCGCTGGCCGCGTCCGGGTCGAAGTCGGGCAGGAAGGCGAAGTCGATGGTCGAGGTGTCGCCGACGGCTTTGAGGGCGCGCGACGTGTTGAAGTGCCGCGAGGGCGTCGGTTGGGCGGGTGATGCCGGGGTGGTGGTGGACGTGGAGGAGGGCCGCTTGTCGGGGGTGCCGGCCGCGGCGGTGGTGAAGCCGCGTGTGGAGACGATTTCGTCGGCGGTGAGGCGCTGGATGAGCTGTGGGAAGGGAGAGGAGGGGGGTGGGGGTGGTTAGTTTCGCGGTGTTTTTGTGGAAGTGAAATGGTTGGATGGCGGGCGGTGGAAGGCACTTGAAGCTTTGGTAGATAGGGGAGGTAGGGAATGCAGAGCGAACGATTGTTGTCCAGCCCCAGCGAAACGAACAACAAAAAGAAGCAGCAAATTCCCAGGAATCGGAATAACCATGCGGTCCTATGTAGGCATTCTCAAAGACGGCGGGGACGAAGTTTGACCACGTACCTCGGCCTTGCTGCCCGTGGCCGACAGCTTCCGCTTCTTGCACTCGGCGCGCAGGCCGGCGAGGTCGCCCGGCAGCGTGATGGCGGGCCGCTCGGCGCTGGCCAGCATGGGCGACGGGAAGGTCGCGGGCCCGGTCATGTGCAGGGCGCGGCGCTGCAGCAGCTGGGGGCTTGACGACTGATGCTGGGCGGCGAGGCGCGAGAGGGCGCGCAGGGAGGTGCTTCGTGGGGCGGCCATTGGGAGCGTGGAGCGTGGTGAGGTACGGTGTAGTATGGTCAACCGGGTGGAGCGGGTGTGTGTATATATGTATGCGTCGGTGGAGAGTTGACGGCGGAGATGGGACGAGATAGGGATGGCTTTAGCAGGTGGACATGTGCATGTGTGTACGGCCGTGGTACGCAAGCGGGGGAAAGGCAGAGGGATAGAGGAACGAGGGGAAACAGGAAATCAATGCAAAGACAGCGGAAGGGGTGAGGCGGTCTGGGGTTTATAGGACGCTGAGTGGTAGATTGGGCGCCCCGTTCCGGCGGAAGTCCGTAGCGGAGCGGGACCTGGTCGGGACGGGGTGGGGAGGGGGGGGGGGGGTGGGTGAGGAGGGCGGCGCGGGCACATACGCAGCACGCCTGAGGCACGTCGCAGGGCGGCCTTAGTGGCTGGGGGACGAAGGGATCGGAGCTGACGGTGCAGGCACGGCCGGATGGGGCCGCCACGGAAACCGCGCTCGGCCTACGACGCAGCTTCCCGGCGGCGTCCAGAGACCGGCAGTCCCCTCACTTGTCTCCCACGTCCGCGGCTGTTGAAGCGCCACGGGGCTGGCGTGTGGCGTTGAGTGAGAGCTCGGCTGGGGGAGGGCGGCGGAGCTTCTCGCTCAACAATCACGGGGAGCTTGGGCCCGGCGCCCTCAACGGGGACCACACCCCCCGGGAGAGGGCCCCAAAAAACTGGCGGTGTCGCGTCGCTAGCGCCCATCATCATTTCACCCGCAAAAGGTGCTGGCTCTGCATATGTACATAGGTATGCACCTCCCTTCAGACCGCGCTAGGCGATTGTGATCATTCGAGCGCCGGGTGGTCTCGCGCATCACTCCACCACACGCTGGGCCGCGCGCCCCCCCCGCAGTTTGTGTTGCTTAGTTCGGTGCGGGGAAAGCTATGTATGCACACACGCGTCTCGGAAGGCTCCGGGGGGCTTTGGCCCCTCCTCCGACGGAGTACATATGTACGGGCACTTTTGCGGTGGCCTCGAAAAATCGAGTGCAGCCCGAGGCCGACAAAACGCCTATCGCGAGGGGGCTTTGTGATGAGGGAGTCGCTCAAGGCCCGCTGCGTCGGCGCCGGGTCCCCGCGGTACGTACCCGGCCGGGCTCGACGCCTCGCTCAACCGCGCTCGTATGTGCGGAGCATGTATGTATGTACCCAGCTTCCTTCCCGGCGCAGGTCCGGGCGGGAATGTGCCACGGCGCTCACCGCCGCGGCCGCCTCTGCTCGAGATGTCGGTGAGGGCGTCGCCCGCCCTCCCGGCGTCGGCCTTCGTTCCGCGACTTGTCGTCTCAGCCCTACGCCAGGACTGCCGGGCGGAGTGAGTGAGATGGGAGCCGACGTGTCCCCGGCCCAATCAGCGTCGGCCATTGCACCGCTACGCCCTTGCCTCCGCTTATAGGGAAGTCCAGTCTTCGCGGGCAGTCGACGTCGATCTTCTAACCTTAAACCTAGACTTCGTTTGTGAACGCTTGACTGTCCCCGCGATTGGCAGCGTGGGTCCGATCTTGACCACTCTTCCCAGATTCCGTTTCTAGAACAAATGACTACCAAGAACAGACCGAACCCTGTCGAAAGGAGGAAGATTTTCGTCTTGCATGTCCTCTGCAAGTTAAATCGTGCCCGGCGCCGAACGATGAGCGAGGGCCGAGGCCACGGCATCGCAGATACCCCTGTCTCAATTCATATCTTGACCGACGAGATTGTAAGGCCTCTATATTGCAGCAGACTCGTTCGACGGCGTTCTTCTACCAGAGCCGGAAGGTTATCGTGACCATCACTTCTGTTCGACATTTCAGGTGGACTGTACGCGTCAGTGGTGCTTTGCGTTCATCAGCCGAGATTGGTCTCCCCAGAGTACAGTAGTGGCAAGCGCAAGCCTAACTCTGTTCCTGACTAGACGCTATTCGTGGCCATGCCATGTCGCAGACCACTGGGAAGAATTCACCTGCGTCGCAAACGCGCTTTTGACTATGGCCCGTGCGCGCCTCCGTGAACACGTACATGTGTGCCCCTTGTGCTCGGCAGCCTGGGAAACAAGCCGGGCGACGGGGGCAGCCAAACGGGAGGACGCAAGCAGACGCGAAATCCTACACGCAGTCCCGCCGCCGATTGGCCGCGCGCCGGGCGTTTTTGCAGCCGAAAATCCAAGAATCGGTCCAGGCCGCCGCCGTTTTTCTTCGCTCCTCCGCTTCTTTTACCGGGCTCGCGCGATGCAAGCAATCGATTCTCACGATCTACATCTGCAGGCCGCGCGCCGGCGCCGAGCCGCCAGTTGATTGCTCGTGTGCCGGCCCTTGGCCCTTGGCCGGCCGCCATTGGCCCGGCGTCCAAGACCGGCCGCGCCTCCCTCCCATCTCCACCTCTCCTTCCGTCCCTGTCGATCGCCCGGCGAACCCTCGTGCCGGGGTTGGCAACACGGCCATGTCCTTCTGCATCCCTTCCCTTCCCTTCCCCATCCACGCCTCTCCTCCTCCGTCTTCTGGCCCTTTCGCATGCTACGTTCGTTTGCTCGTTGCTAGCCGTTGTCCTCCCGCTCCCGTCACCCCTGCGGGCGACCTCGCCGTTTCGCCCATGCGCAGCTAATGTTGCTGGTGCGGCTTGCTTGGTCACCGCACGCCCGCAGTTCAGCCTGTCTCCTGTGCAGGAACAACCGGTCCGACGTGAATCCTAGCGTCTAGGAGGGCGATGCTGCGTTCGCTTTGAAGCACCAAAAGCTGTTGTGGAGGGCTCGCTCCGTTGCAGGACCGCCCATCGTTCCCTTTTGCTTTCTCCTGCTGCAGCGTACAGCTGCCCACGCGGTGGATTCTTTTGCTTTTGTTGCATCGAGGGCGCCGATTGCGGAGTCGAGGCTGAACGGTGGCAGTCCTGGCCGTCTTGCCGTTCTTGGACAAGGCTTCCTGGCAGCTCCTTTTTTTTGGCGCAACGATGCGGCTTCAACTGGCAGGATGCGCCTGTTTGGCATCGCTGTCTCGCTCCGCGCTCGCTTTCTACCCGTTCGTTCCCGGATCAGACCCTTCCGATCCGGACGTCTCCCGTTCGGTTCGACGACTCGCCGATGCCG